TTACGATGGAATTGCAGATTTATCATTTCACTGATTTTCCTGAATGTGATAATAAGCTAAAATTTGATTGCAAATTTTGTATGTTACTCAAGATGTTTGAATTACAAGGAAGACACAATCAGCAAAAAGGGTTGGAAAATATGAAATATCATCTATTCCCCAGTGTCTGCCAGCAGTACGAAAAGTGCTTCTGGCATGGAAACACATTGTGACAATTTGGCAGCTGAACTGTCGTAAAGACTCGGTCATTTGTATTCTTAGCTTGATAAGGTTGCTTGATTGTGTTAAAGATTAAAGCATCTTTTCTGTCTCTGTTTCTCTATCTCTCTTTCTTCTCTGTCTCTCTCTCTCTATATATATCCCTTTCTCTCTCTCTCTCTATATATATATATATGTATATATATATATCTCTCTCTCTCTCTATACATATCCCTGTCTCTCTCTATATATATCCTTGTCTCTCTCTATACATATCCCTGTCTCTCTCTCTATATATATCCTTGTCTCTCTCTCTATATATATATCCTTGTCTCTCTCTATATATATCCCTGTCTCTCTTTATATGTATATACACCAAACTGGTGAATCTCATTTCTCATTCAACTAAAAATCACATTTTATAATTTGTTTGTTGATAATTGTCTGTAAGGTGGATGAAAATTGTTAATACATAAGAACATGTCCTGAAATATTTGTTACTGAGGAAGTGGCCGGTGTTCCTGGACTATGATAACTACTAGACTATTCAAAAGACTGTATCTTAGGAATACTGCTTAATATGTAAATTTTCAGACATGGCCAGTGGGATTTAGTGCTGAATTCTACCTGTTTCGCCTAAATGTTGGCAGTGTTTTGGTTCTGGAGGCGTTCTAGAGAATGGTGATGGTCATAATGGCTCCCTTGATCATTCTAGTCTACATACCGTAGTTATTCTTCTTTTTTTTATCTTGGGGTGTAAATCTTCTCAGTCGGAGTACGAAGGTGGGCTTATTACAGGACTGTTGTAAACATTTTTATTGGTGTTTCTGCTGAAACTGTGATGGCTGTGGGTGTAATAGTCTTATTACCAGGGAAGGGTTTGATAAATGTTGTATAAGTATGTAGCATAAAGTCACACTCTAGTGTTGTACTCTATCTACCTAGTAAGTATGGTAGATTGCTATATATGGTTTATCTATATAATAGTTCTATCAATCATAATTGATGTTTTAACAAAAGGACAAACAATTTCCTACAATCAAAAAATTTTTTTTTTCAAAAGACCTTTGTAAACAACTAGATATCTTCCGGAAGCCTAGAAGACGAACCTCAACACAAATGAACTTAGCATGATGTTGGTTCTCTGGAAATTTCTTTATCTGGAGATTTTGTCTAATTAATTTCCTACAACTGATCTGATTATGAGCTGTCAACACTTAGATACACACAGAGAAAATGAGAAAAAATAAGTTTCTTTTAGTGTTTCTTCAGTATAAAACCACACAACTGTCATTATTAATTTAAGGAAAGAAAGGAAACTAGTCATTTGAAGTATGTCAGTGTAGAATGTAACGGTACTACTTAAAATGGCTGAAACAACAGTCAAAATTCTTGCGATTTTCTTTAAAAACAATTAAATTATATTTTAACGAATTAAAATTTCATGATTTGAATGTAATAGGACATCGAGTACAAAGTGTGTCATTTTTTTACAGATTTAATTTTCACGATTACTTCATGTATCGTAAAATAGTGAAAATGTGATCCCTGCGAAAATAAACGACTATATGGTAATTTAGGGAGGAGGCGGTGGAAATGCTGACTCAAAACATCTGAAAACATTTGTTACAAATTCTAATCAACAGCAAATGTATTTATATGGGTGGGCTTATTACTAGGCATGGGCATATTATTGGATAGATATGATAAATCTGAAAGTTATAAAATCTCTAATGGAGAAGTTATGGTAGAATAACGATATTTCTTTGGCAATTAAATGGTGAGTTTTTCCAATAAATACAAGACTGGAACAATTATGGTAGCTTGAGACAATGCCTCATCTATTGATATTAAAGCTTCAATGACGATAACACCAACAGTGACTATCAATACTTCTGTAGAAGGAAGTTTTATTGCATCAAATCTCTTTAAAGTGTCTGCCAGACAAAAAATGTCTGGCTGGAGGATTTTTAGGTGTGTTGACTTTGATCGGCGAAATGATAACCAAAGTGGAAGTGTGTTTGTATATAGGGGAGGGGCAGTGACAGGGGCAGAGGGAGGGGGAGGGGCAGTGACAGGGGCAGAGGGAGGGGAGGGGCGACAGAGGAAGGGGGAGAGGGGGAGCGACAGGGGCAGAGGGGGGGTTAGCGACAGGGGCAGAGGGAGGGGGAGGGGCAGTGACAGGGGCAGAGGGAGGGGAGGGGGGGAAGATGTTGGAGGCTATGATGATTAGGCCAGAGAGAGAATGGATGACTTGTAACACATGGTGATTCAATGAGTCAGGTTTACAACTGGAAAGAAAGAAGAAAAAGATAAAAATGGAATTGGAAGTGAGAAGGGATATAGTGTTTGAGATTGGAGAGAAGAAGATAGGTTAAAGTGATGTGGTGGACAGAAAATATAAGGTGATGAGGTGGATAGAGAATTTTAAATGGTGAGGTGGACAGAGAATTTTAAATGGTGAGGTGGATAGAGAATTTTAAATGGTGAGGTGGATAGAGAATTTTAAATGATGAGGTGGATAGAGAATTTTAAATGACGAGGTGGACAGAGAATTTTAAATGGTGAGGTGGATAGAGAATTTTAAATGGTGAGGTGGATAGAGAATTTTAAATGGTGAGGTGGATAGAGAATTTTAAATGACGAGGTGGACAGAGAATTTTAAATGACGAGGTGGACAGAGAATTTTAAATGGTGAGGTGGATAGAGAATTTTAAATGGTGAGGTGGATAGAGAATTTTAAATGACGAGGTGGACAGAGAATTTTAAATGGTGAGGTGGATAGAGAATTTTAAATGGTGAGGTGGATAGAGAATTTTAAATGGTGTGGTGGATAGAGAATTTTAAATGGTGAGGTAGACAGAGAATTTTAAATGATGAGGTGGACAGAGAATTTTAAATGATGAGGTGGACAGAGAATTTTAAATGGTGAGGTAGACAGAGAATTTTAAATGGTGAGGTGGATAGAGAATTTTAAATGGTGAGGTAGACAGAGAATTTTAAATGATGAGGTGGACAGAGAATTTTAAATGATGAGGTGGACAGAGAATTTTAAATGATGAGGTGGACAGAGAATTTTAAATGGTGAGGTGGACAGAGAATTTTAAATGGTGAGTGACAGAGAATTTTAGGGGCAGAGAATTTTAAATGGAGGGGACTTTTAAATGGTGGGTAGACAGAGGGAGTTGGAGGGGGGCTGTAGACAGAGAATTTTAAATGAGGGTGGGGAATTTTAAATGAGAGGTGGAAGAGAATTTTAAATGACAGGATGATTAGGCCAGAGAGAGAATGGATGACTTGTAACACATGGTGATTCAATGAGTCAGGTTTACAACTGGAAAGAAAGAAGAAAAAAATAAAAATGGAATTGGATTAAGAAGGGATATAGTGTTTGAGATTGGGGAGTAGAAGATAAATTAGGGTGGTGTGGTGGACAGAAAATATAAAGTGGACAGAGAATTTTAAATGTGGACAGAGAATTTTAAATGGTGAGGTGGATAGAGAATTTTGAATGGTGAGGTGGACAGAGAATTTTAAATGGTGAGGTGGATAGAGAATTTTGAATGGTGAGGTGGACAGAGAATTTTAAATGTCGAGGTGGACAGAGAATTTTAAATGGTGAGGTGGACAGAGAATTTTAAGTGATGAGGTGGACAGAAGTATTAAGATATACAAGAAAGGAAGTAGGTAGCATTATAGTAGATACGTAAGAATCAAGAACAGTAACTCTAGCAATGATTATGATATACTGTTTGACCTGTAAAGCTGATTCCTGGTAATTCACCCATCCACATCTGTTGTATTTGCTGTAGAAATGCATTTATCAATTTTTCTGATGACTTGAAAGCCTGTCTCTCTACCCAATAAATACGGTAACCAAAAAAAAAATATAGTTTTGTTCCTCAATAATATATTTATAAGATTTTTACAAACCAAGGAGATCGTTTATCTGAAGTGACAATAACTTCACTGGTTAAACTCCTAAATAGAGACTAGACATAGAGCGTTTTATAATACCTCTTGTATAAACTGAATGCTGCTTGCTAAACTGGAGGTCCAATGTTGATTGAGAAAAGTGCCATGACAGACGACATGATTTGTCCTGTAGTCATGGTCACGAGAGTGCTTGCCCATAAATCTCGTGTGCAGATCACTTCATTGTGGAATCAAATTAGGAAGTATTGATAACCTTGTTGGCAGGGGAGTCAGGAGCTGTAACTTTGTTTGGGGACGAAGTACCACAATGTTGGTAACCTTGCTGACATTTTCATTTACTTTAATGTTCATATGATGAGGTTCCTGGACGTTGTCCCAATGTAGCAATCATACCACTGACGTCCTGACAGACTTTCTGGTAGTTCTTAAGAGATGTGGTGCCAACAACATTTTTACTCTCTTTTTTTCATCAACAAATTACAATACAACATTCTATCATTGTTAGGTTGTCCAGCCATTTAATTATGATCTTAGAGGCATATACAAAATATTTGCTCATTATGTTATCAATTTCGACATTAATTCTTATTAAGATAAAAAGAATGGCTTTTTTCCTGAGGAGGAAAATTTTAGTTTAATTTAAAGGAAATTGAAACATGATTAAAATATGGACATGAAAACCTGGAAAAGTACAAGAAAAGACTGGGTGCTTTGGAATGGTAAACATCTTCTGCTTCATCAACAACACCTGTCGTGACGTTTTTGTTATGCCAAAAATTTCAATTTCTTTTTATGGAATAATTTACTGTTTAAGTTTCCTGTACTTAAATCCTGTTAACATTGGATTGTCTTTCCTTGCTTTACAGGGACCTGTGCAAGTAAAGTTTGAGCGTGTCAAGTCCGGCAGCCTGCCCCCGAAGTTCAGCGAGGTCACTTTTGAAGCTGGTCCCGAGGACAAATATGTAAGTACTTGATACTTTAGCAGTAATAAGGCGGAGTGGGTTATAACAGATTAAGTAATTTTTGGTAAATGCAATGAAGTTTCCTCATATAAAGAACCTTGACCTTCCAGGTAACAGAGTTATGCATTTAAATATGTTATAAACTTTGAAAATATTGCAGAAGCCTAGTTTGGTTTTGGTATTTGACAATCAGATACATGTGTACAGGGGGAAAAGGACCATAAACTGCCTTATACATGTAAATGGCCTTGACTTTTTACAAGGTCATAGGTCATATAGAAGTTCAAAGAACAGATATGTAAGGTCTTCAGTTTAAGTTTGTGTTGCAGGCTTTGTATAATGCATTTCACTTTGTATTTTGGTTTTGTTTTGAATTTAACATACGAAGGTCAAAGGTCAGTTTTGAGTTCTTTGGTAAAAAATTGCAAAGGTAAAAAGCTTAAAGAATAACCAAAGGACAAAGGGTCAGGGTATTTAGCTACAAGGTAACCTATGGAGCTGATGCTTGACATAAATGACCTTGACCTATTTTCATAGTCACAAGGATGTAACATTAAAACATCCAAAACAGAATACAGAATATCAATGGCATTTTTTCTCAAGTAGACTAGAAATGTTAATAATTAAGTATATACATTTACAGCCTGTATGTTTAACACTGATTTCAAGGATTCTTAAATGTAAACACTTCTTTGTTGATATCAGTATACTATTTTCAAGTAGAAACATTCTTCTTTTTTTTACTGAAAATATCCATTTAAGAATACAAGCCCTTTATGTATCTTGTTTATTTTGGTGTTATATTTATTTTTTTAATTATACAAGATATAGTTTTTTGTGTCAATCTGACCAATAGAGTTTTTGCAATCTGATAATAAGTTAATTAGGCATTTGACAATGAGGTCCAGGTAACGACTTGATGACATTTGATATTTGTGTTGATAAAGTAAAACTTAACTTCTAATCATCATTACGTTTTACCAGCTGAGTTATGATGCGACATCTTTGATGTCATAAAGAGGCTTTCCTATTAGATCATTAACCAACTTCGATCAGATTTTACACCAATATATATGAGTCATTCTCCCCTTCTGGTTTGTCAGTACAGCTTGAGTTTTATACATGATGTCAGTGTTTTTTTAACAGCCATTCATAGAGCTCTGTTATATTATAATGTTTATGCTCTCAGAAGGGAGAGAATATAATTGCTGCTTTGTCCGTCCGTCCATCCATCCGTCCATCATAGTTTTATTCGGAGCATCACTCATAAACTATAAGAGGTATTAATATAAAACTTCATAGGTAGATAGATCTAAATAAGGAGAAGTGCACTGCACCAGAACCATCACTCTTTTTTTTTTTTGCATAATTTAGGAGTTATTGCCCTTTGTTATTTTTCATATTTAAATGTTGTTGGGAGCATTACACTAAAACTATAAGAGGTATCAACATGAAACTTCCTAGGTAGATTGGTCTCAACAAGTAGGAGGGCAGTGCACAAGAATCATCAATCTCTTATTGCCCTATGTTATTTTTCTTGCCTATAAATTTTGTCCCAATCATGGAGCATAACCCATCTCTGACATGCCTTGATTTATGTCAAATGAGAATGCTTCTCAGAAACTATGTATTATTATAGACATGTTGTTACACACACTGAGTCATGCCAATCCAAATCCTGCTGCACCACATTCTGTAAAAGATTTCTCCTTATTTACATGTTTTTCCATTATCATCTCCCTGTCCAAAAATCTCTTTTTGAAATCGAAGATTTTAAAATTATTTAATGCCCATAGATTGGAATTCGGGAATTTAGATTCATGTTGTAGTGAGCTTTAATCAGAACTGGCATCAGTATTCACGGTAGTAACCAAGTTTTATTGTACATGATGGATATACATGAGTTTCACAGATTAGTGAAGTAATTTTTTGCTGATAAATCCCAGAGAACTAGATGTTCCTTGTAGCTACTTAAGTCACTAAAAAAAGATGATAAAACATTTTACAAGGTTACGACCAATTTAGCCAAATTCCATCTTCCCGGGTAATTTTTAAGTGGTTCATGATCAAAACTGTTACTAAAAATAAACATGAATGTACTTTTATATCATAAACATACATTTCAAATTTATATTTTGAAATATTAAATTTTTTTTTAGAAATGCTTTCTTGAATAACGGAATAAAAATCACGTTTTTATATGTAGTAAAAAGTGCTGATTGACAATTAACTCCAGTATAGTGCAGATTTTATTTTAAGTTGCCGTACGCTATTGTGTAAATAATAAATGTATAGTGTTTTCCGTTTTTAGAGTTTATATTAACCAGATGTGTCAGACAAATTATCCCAACACTTTCTGCAGCACAAGTCCGCTCATTTTCGTAACAGGCTTGGCTTCAAGCCTAATGGTTTACTGCCTTGTACAATGAAATTGACTCTTATAAAATATCAATACATTGTATCTGCAGAAAAGCTGCCGGCTCTTGAGTTCTGATGCCACTGGCCAATTCTACAATTGGCTGCACAAATGTTGCTGTTGTAAGTTTGTTTTTTACAATAAGAATGCCAATTGACAAAACTTTTTAAAAGTTCTTGGCAAAATAACATAAATATACTTTAAACGAAAATTGGCATTGATTTTCTGTTTTTAAAACAAGGAGTCTTGAATTTTGATTGTAGTTAATGCTGCTTGTGAGTCCTGGTCTAATAGTCAAACTTTCTTAGTTACAGCAACACAGATTCAAATTCCCTGGGATTCTTTTGAAATCCTAAATAAATGGGAAAAAACATTGAAAAATGTGTTAAACATTTTCCAATCGGTACAAAACACTGAAAAATAATCATAACCTCGCAACATCAGGCCCAAAATGTTTGAAAACACTTAGGATGTCTATATTAATTGGAATTGATACTGAAATATATCAGAAATTTTGAAGTTTTATTGCTCCTACCACTTCCTGTATGCTAATTTAGAACTGTGTAACAGATACAGAACTGTACTTTGGTATATCTGTGTTTAAAGTGTACCCTGAGAGTAATTTTATATTTAGATATAATGTTAAGAATGCCGTAAAAAAAATAATAATGAAAACCCCGTCAAAATCCGTCGCCCCAGTGTCAAGTTATTAAAGCTCAAAGTTGTCGATTTTCACCTGTCCGCCCAGACCTAATCAGCCGAATCGTCATTTCTGCGGAATCGAGGCTCTTCTACTCGTGACGTCATAATTTCAACAGAAATGGCAGTCAACATGACTGACAGTGACAACGACACCGCAACTGAGAGCGATTTGAGCATGAGTTTTGAGGAGTCTGATTATGGTGTGAATGATATGTCTGAAGACGGAATCCAGCCCTACCGATTTGAACTGGAATTACAAGACGATGTATCCAGTGAGGAGGAAAATGACCCTTCCAAAAGTGATGATCGCTTGGGCAACATAGATTGGCACGTACTTCACTGGGTCTCACCAGTAGTCGTGAAAGTAGTCAAACAGTGAATCGTCGTTTCAAAGAAACAAAATAAAATTGGGTGTGGTTTTGGACTAATTTTACTATCTTCAAGTCTCGATCAACAATTTCTGACGTCGGAAATCGCGTTTGTGCAAGACTATGCATACATTCACGAGGTGTCGGGAATTTTCTTACCGAAGATGTTTCGTCCGAGGGGAATTTTTCTTTCCAGGAAATTTCGTAGCACCAGAGACGTATATAACACGATACGTCTCTGGTAGCACTATGGATATATATAGTTAGGGTGTCAACAACCAATTATAACATCCTCCGCTGTGTTAATAATAAAAATTTGATGTTTTAGAAGTTTAAACAATTATTTGACTGGTTTTACCCTAGCACTGGTAGGGGTCTTTTGTTAGCCGACAGGCGTGTCGCCTCACAGGTGTCACAATTGTTTTTTCCAGCCACAGAGGTGCTAATTACCTAACCTGGCACAGGTGTGATTATGAGTTTAGATGACATCTCTACACTGTGAACTGTGTTTTCAAATCAAGATTGGTGATCTTATTGTTATTTTTACGATCGCAAAATTAATAACTAAACAACATCGTCTGCTGGAAGATCTAAAAACCAAATACACCTTATACAAACAACATACACACATAACCTATTCTATAAATTCTAATAATTCTATTCTATACTATATAATAGTAGTATGAAAATTCTCGGGGTGAAAATTCCCGTGACCCATTCACGACTAGGCCTTCTCCGAGTATTAGGCGTTCACGATTACGAAGGAATAATATTCCTATGACCGCCCAAGTCATAGGCTAACCTATCAATTTAAAATGTTAAGTTGTAGAATTAATAACAAAATATCAACCTAACAAATATACTTTTATTTAATCAACAATCAGTTTTATTTATCGACGTCATACATCGACACCCCATCCGTGTTAGTGTTAGGACAACCATACACACCGCTTCCCTCCTCGATAGGAAGCCATTTTAGCGGATTTAAGCGCTAATTCACCGACCCCTCGTTCACTACCTTAGATATTGCGAAGATGTGAAGTACTTTCATGTAAATAAACAAAGAAATTACCACGGAAAATCCCAAAATAGATCACAATCACATGTAGCACAGTAAAGACAATATGGCTGCATCAACAAAAGCGTTGAACTTATGACGTCACAGGTTTGGGTGCCTGAAAACGAGGTCAATGCCTCTCAGCCAAAGGTGTGTTTTTCAGAAAAGTCGCAATTTCTCAGTAACGGAACATTTCACGGCATTCGCGTTTTCGGCATAGTGTATTTTATGTGCAGAACTATTTTTCAAGGTCAACATAGCTGACCTTTCAGGGTACACTTTAATGATGATTATGATAAAGGTAAAGTTATAATTTTTGTATGATTAAATAAATTTAAATTTATGGCCTTTTAACAAAAAAAATTTAATTAATTTTTAGGGAAAAAAATGGGGTGACAAATATTGGAAAGCCTTGCCCAACTCCAGTGAGAATTTAAAAATAAATAACAATAAAAAA